AGTGTGATTCCTCTCCCTTTCCCTCCCTCACGTTATAATCTTCTTGATATTCGATTCGAGACTTTGTAAAAAGCCGTACGATGGCGAGCAAGCGTGCGATAGGCGGAAAACATGCGAGAAATCGGATCAACACATAAAAAAGCAACCAAGTAAAGGAAGTGAATGGAATCAATTCCGAGTTGGTTGTTGCGTGGATGAATGGTTCAGTCGGTGGACCAAGCGGACAAAGCAAGTGACAAAAGGGTGGGACAGAAAGAATGAGGCAAAAGCGAAAAGACAGGAATAGTGAGACAAGCGCCAGGGAAAAAAAGAAGACAAAAGTATAACTGGTGTTCATAAATCCATAACACTGGGCTAAACATCGAGAGTCGAGATTTGTGACGACGATAGAGAGCGTGTTACGTGTTATTTGTTGCGTGCGCGTTCGTGCGTGCGTGCGTGCGTGTATTTGTGTGTGCGTGTGCGCGTGTGTGTGTGTGTTGTATTTGTGTATGTATGTATATATGTGTAAATATGCGCGCGTTTACATATATATGTGTGATTTTAAATTTGATATAGTAATAATGACCTAAGTATAGGTAAGAGCGTGTGATAATGTGTGGAGTTTGAAGAAGGTGAACAGGTCGTTTAAGAACACGATCGCAGAGAGCACGATCGCATTTCTCAAACGGTATACGTGGAAGAGTCACATAGAGAAAAGTACATAAAGTGATAATCGGATGGAATTCCGGAAATTCTGTTTATTTACTCCGTTATTTGCTATTCGTCCAAAATTAATTTTATACTGATCTGTATGATTAGTTTTGCTGTAACTACAAACGATGCAATCCGAGTGGTCAATTTACATAAATAATATCAATCATTCAATGGAATGGAATTCTTTTAATTGTTACAAATAATATTATAATAGGATAATCCGAGCTTTTGAATATAATAAAATCATGCAACGTTAAATTTTAACGATAAAATCAATAATTTTATCATTGGTAAATCTCTACTTATTTGTTCAATGGTTTGCATAATTCCATTCGATATGAAACACTCGATTATACTTTTTCCTCTATAGAGTTCGTTAAAATAATGATCCATTAAAATGACGACAATTTTTATATCCGTGATAATTGTCACTGCCACGTAAATTTTTGGCTGTGTTTCTCGCTGTAAATTTGTTAAATTAAGAAATATTCAGGCAAATTCAATGACTGTACATATACGTTTCATCTAACGATTATTTTTTTCTACATTTACAATCGCGCGACATCCAAACAATAAAATTCATTTTAGCTTTCTCTTTATTGACAATAAATAGTTGGTTCGTTATATGCTTGTTCTATTCGCTCTGGTTCACACAATAAAACCAAGAGACGAAATTAGAGCCAATTAATCAAAGATTATTACAATACATAATCCAATAACGTGGCAGCAAAAAAAGGAGAAATATATATAAAAAAATATATATAACATCAAGGAAGCGTATGTACGTGTATGTGTGCGGGCATAAGGAAATACAAATATGCCAGATGAGATCTAATAAACGTGCGGAAGTGATGATTGTGAAATGTTACCTAAAAAGCTCCAAAAGTTTTCACAATCGAATTTTTTCCTCTTACGCTGCTAATATATTTAATTCACCGGATAAATTTATATAATATCGAAATAAACGATAAATGAAACCGATTGTAGCCGATTCGTTATTTGCAAATTTCTAAATTACAATAAAATAATTCTTACAGCCTAAGAAGCGAGCTGAAAACGAGCGTCTTTCGTTCGATAATTAAAGCATAATTGTAAACCGCGAGAAAATACAACAGCGGAAAAGTTAAGAGTTTTCCTATGCTAATTGCGGCTCTAAATAAGATAAAAGGTGAATATGTTGAAAAAGAAAATGCAAGCGAAAGCAGCGTGAGTCGGAGCGATTCGTGGTCACCGGCTGTTAAAAAATTAACATGAACGAGAATGAATAAAAATAGAAGAGAATAGAGAGATAAACATCGAGATTATTACGAGAAAAGTATGTGTGATAATACCGAGTGACAATATACACCGTACAATTACGCGTAGTAGACTTACGTTATAAGAAATTATAACCCTTTCAGCTCGTCTAAATTGTAAAGAAATCCTCACATCTATGTTCACATGAAATTAGCGTTCACATTATATTAATAATAATAATAAGAATAAGAATAAAATTATTTTTTTAATAATTAATTGTATGCTTATAATTCGTTTACCGAGGCTTAACACACGCTGAAGTATTACTATTTACTACTCGTAATATTAATCTTGAAAGGCTATTACGAATTGTCTCTTTGTTTCCCTGTGATTGTGCTCATCTGAGTGTTTTATCTAGGAAAATTTGAATAAGACTTGAATAAGATTAATGTAAAGGAAACATCGTAATAAACAGACTTACAAGAAACAGCCGTTCAAGATTAATTTGTCGCAGCTATCGCTACTTGGACTAGTCTACGAATCCATTTTCTTCAACATACTAACATGTACGACCAGAATACAAGTGAGAAAGAGAAAAACGCGTTAAAATTTATAACACTACATCTACTGAATTGCATAATCGTCAATTATCTCTTTGTACTAGATTGTATCACGAGAAAGCGTTGTCTAATTATAATCGAGCCTGTTCATCTTACGTTGTTAAAAATGGTCGCCTGTGCGGTAATCGCTAAAAAAAGATGCATTGCGTTAACAAGAGAACTTATGATAATGGTGGTTGCGGATAGTGGTAGATTTTTTTTACTTCGCGACATACACCTATAAATAAATTAATTCATGTTGCACACGTGATTTAAATTGCCAGTGATCAATTATTTCCGGAAAGAAGGTGTAGGCGAGAAAAGAATAATTACGACGTATAACAAAAGCGCGTAACGAAGCCGATGCGTGAGTGACACGAAATCAGTGAACTTTAGGCCCGACTTGTGTAAATGCGAAGAATCGGGATCTGCTGTAAACCAGAGCAACTTCCGCCTTCACCGTTTCTTTTTCTTGCAGTAACGCATTATATCCAATTGTTCAAATGTCGTGTATATAATTTTCATTACAACTTATGTGCAATCTACATATGAACAGTATATATGTGTGTAATTTTTTCTCTTGGAACGTATAATGAAAAATGATTAATCGATTAATAATTTAATTTACTTTTTTTTTTTACCGTCGCCCTTGTTACACAGATCCTCGAAATATCGACCGTTTTTATTTCAAGTGGAAAAACGAGCGAGATTACCAGACGATATACGCCATGTTTGAGATGTTAAATAATTAAATGTTGAACCAAAATGGTTCCACGTGTACGAGTTACACGATGTTTATATTAAAGCGTTGATATATTACCCGTGTTTTATTCATCGTCTACTTGACTTTTCGGGGGGAAAAAAAAAAAAAAAAATTTTACGCGTAAAAATATTACGCGCGTGAGCGTTCTTCAATCTTTGTTTTCCAGTTAATTCTGGATGGAAGCTAAGCGTCAGTAACGTCCGGTAACCTGTGCGTGTAAGTGAACGAATGCAATCGCAATGATCACATTTCCGCTATGACATTTCCGAATGATATGATGAACGTGTCTTGAAGAGAATTGCGCTCGGTCTATGGTGTTTGTAATCTAATTATATACGGTGCATTCTTTCATTTGCTGTTATAATACGCGTGCGCACGTCATTCGTCTACGTGTGTTATGGATTTGTGAGCATCGGCTATTGGGGGCACAAAACAACAGTGTTATCACTTCTCTCACACAGCTGTATACTTGGTGCTTTGCCTTTACGGTGTCTGTTATGGGAGACAGACAACGAGTACAGAGCCACTTGATTTGTACGGACGTGTATACGTGTGTTCGAATGAAAGCATGGAAAACGGATGGCATCGATTCACTCTCGTTTTAGTTTATTTCGGCGAATATATTTCAACACCATCAGCTGCGCATAAAATACAGGGTCACGCGAGTTTGTATATGCAAAGTGCATTCAAAATTGCATTTGTTAGATGCATAATATAGATGTCCAGCAAAATTCTAAAATCAGGATCTTTGTACATAAATAAAGAAGAGAGTCCGAGTAAGTAAATACCTGTGTCAATTAATTTATTACAATTCCTTCGTAAACATTAACGCAATAACACATTAATTAATAAGAAATATGAATTCGCGTGACGCTGATGGGGATGAGGAATGAGTTTTTTCATGTCGCGTGTAGAATATTTTAAAATTCAAAAGCGAACGTTGTTCTTGGATATCCGGCAAATTATATGCTGTGACGTAGGAGAGGAGATACAGATTCATGCAGAGATAATTTGGATTGTACTTTCTCACCCTATATGCAAAACACAAAATTTCATTTATTCCTCGAAATATTGTTACAGTTGTAATCTAATAATCTACGAGTAATAATGGACTCATTCATATTGTTTTGAAACCGTAAAATAACAGTAAGCTGGAAACTATTGTACACGTAGATACAAAATATTCAATTTCGAAATACATATTTTTTAAATGTAAAATTTTTTTTATTTTCAAAATTTGTATTTAATGCGCAATACTCTTAAATTGGTTATTTGTGTATATCAAAATTTATTAATTCATTTGTTAAATGTGTTTGATCAAATAAAATACGAAACGGACGAATGTGTCTCGAGAGTACAATCCTATGTTTCCATCAAAATCTCTTAAAGGAATTCTACTTTTCTAGAGAATGTAGGAACGGGAGAAATCTGACAAATATATATTTCCTCGGATACGCGAAAGAAAAGAACGGATGAGATCTGATCGATATGAGTATTAAATTGAAATCAAGATACGTCAAAATTTTCGAATAAAATACTCGCGAATTCAAATTTACAGACATAATTACAACCGAGAAAAATATGAAGAACGTGTTAAAAAAACGCACAGATCTCATATACCTGACATTCCACGCTAGTTAAATAATTCCTTTTATTTTAACGAGCTATAGTCTGTACATGATTTCTCGTGAACATGCAACATAACGACATTCGCGTTGTAAAACATATTTTGATAACCATCGATTACATCTGACTTGCGTATCACGAATTATATTCGCAAAGTGAGAGAAGATAGCTTTGGGATGCACCATCACATGTTTTGCGCGTGTTTGTGTCAGAAAGTGTGTCAGAACAGGGAGGGCATCATCGCACACGATAGAGAAGTTGCGAGAAACATCGACTACCAGAGTTAGTCAGGAACTTGAAAGACAGCTCGTACGAGAAGACAGATTCGAAGATGATAATGTAGAAACGAGATAGACTCAATATCTGTATATTAGGTCGATGAGGATATGTAAAATACGTTTAATATACTTTGCGCTAATGCTTACTACTAGATACGACTATTTATAAATTTCAAACAATACTGACAAGTGTCAATTGTATATCATGTCAGTATGATACTCTTATAAGGAAAAGCAATACACAATATAACATAATCGCAACATAATCGATAAAGTTTAATGAAACTATTAATATCAGATACTCTGAGTGAAATGACAATTTAAATAAAGGTTTCTCTGTGTGTGTGTGTGTGTGTGTATGCGTAAATTTTCTAGAAATATCCCAAATCAAATTTCTTATATTTATATATTGACTGTCTTGCTTTTCGCTGTGTATGAATATCTTCGGTGAACTTTGAAGAACGTACACGTGCGATCGAACGCGGACAGACGAAAGACAAATAAAACACGAAAGAGATCGACAAGTGTATAATCAAAAGTATCTACAAAGGCAAAGAGAAAGATCAAGGCGAGATCGATTTTTCTACGGACCAGGAGGAAGGGGCAAACTTTAGGATCTGCGACCGAGAGTACACCTTACGGTATATATTATAATAAAGGAATCAGCACACACAGAAATGATGATATTGTGCCAATAAAATTAAATCACATCGGTTTGAAAAGCATTCAACGAAAATCCGACACAAACACACTATAAAAACATTGTAAAATAATTAAATCTTCTCAAAAGTTTCCTCACGTATAATCAAGTATGATATCAAGTATCTACAAGTATTTACATTTATTTCTCGTAATTTAACTATATCAACTTTGGTTTCAAATAAAAATAAGTTTAAATCATCTTTGTAATTGATGTTCCTAAACCTTTCCATGAAAGGTTTACCTTTGCGGCATAGTGTATCACAATAATTGGAGCACAGGTGTACGCAGGGTGGAAAGGGGATAAGCCAGAGGATAAGCAACGAGTGGATATTTAACTACTCGAGCTATCGTCCAACGATCGACTTGCACGTGAGAACGAGAGGAGTATCTCTAATGAGGGATCGATACGCGTCCGTGCTCTTTACTTTTATGCGCAATACATAAGAATTATCCATGTAAATTAATCTCCCGCAGTAACTGCGATAAACGTGGCGTTAATGCGTGACATTGCGTCAAACAAACAAAAAAATGATCAGAAAAATAATTGATTCAGTTGGATCGAATAACATCCCTTTCTGTAACATCCCAGACACTTTTCAGACAGCCATACGTATCTTTAACAGTTACAGTTATTGACATCACCCGATGAAATTCAATTAAATTTTGTTTTCAATTAAATTTCACAAGACAATACTGTTCGAATTAAATATAAATAATATGACAAAGCTATACAACAAAGTTACGACAAATAGAAATGAGATCTTCAAATAGCTATATCATCGAATTTAAGAGTAATGTTGATCTTTATATTACATGGTATTATACGATAAGTCGCGAACACTAAGCTGCAGTTTCTCCGCCTGTAGTCAAGTTTCTCATTAAATTCTCATAACGAGCACGCAGTAAAGAGATATATGCTGTGAATCACTGCCGGGAACTAAGAACTTGTACATCGGGCCATTGTTATTGGAACTATCACCGATTATTCTGCTCGCGTGACGACAATACCGCCGCGATGGCGACGGAATCGCTATCATAATTCAATCCAAGCTTTCGAGCACAACGGCGACGTGCTTTAATAGCTAGATGCCAACCGGCTTTAAACAAGTGCTCGTTACGACAACTGAAATTGCACGAATGATTTCTTACCGAAATATCGTGGCCGATATCATGTAAGAAACTATTCGCGTGTTCCGGGTATGAAAGTCGATAAATATCCGTGTAAAAAGATTTCGAATATTTATACGATATGATAAACTATCCCATTCTATCTATTCTTTGTGCTTATAATCGCGATCGTGAAGATCGACCGTTTTAAGCACTCGTTTTCGCACTGATAGCCTACAATTAGTTCGTTATAATAATCACAGTTAAAAAAATTCAACGCGTTTTGTAATTATGAAAAAAAAGAGAGAGAGAGAAACATAAAAAAAGGATGGGGATCTCCTACCTTTAACATCATCGTCTTCGATCGTTGTGCTGCTGTCGGTGGATTCCTTCACTTGAGAGCCATCACCCTTCTTCGTGATAATGCTTCGACCTGGAGTGCGCAGAGCGTTTCAGTAAATCGACATTGGGAAAGTGAAAACGAAAGAAAAATGACGAGAGGAAGAGATAGTAAAACAAAAGTAGTAGTATCAAAGACTATAAGATAGGAACAAGAGAAAAAAAGATAAAAAGCGAGATTATAGAGAATACACATAAAATGGAACGATCTTGAAATGAGGATATGGATTAGAAGGAGTTATTTCGAGTATTTATTTAGATCCGCGTTGCCTGATGTGTACCTCGAAACGATCTTGAGAGCGTTTCTCCATTTTAAATGTGCTCTACGACATAGCTAATACAAAGCTCGAGTTTGAAAGGAACGTCGAGAGCTCTTCTTAATGCAACAGTTAAAAAGAGCAAGTTCGCTTGATGCCAAATGTTAATCTGAAACTAGCTTGTCGTTTAAAAAAAAATAGAGATAAACAAACTAAGCAAATATCGTCTCTTTCTATGAACGTTTATTGAAAAAAAAAAATCAAGTTACTATTGCTGTAATTTGTGTTGTTAATTCGTGCAAATTGAAATAAAATCAAATTCATCGGTCGTTCGTCCAATTGACGTTGTAAAGAATAATTACCGATTTTTGAATTATTTTAAATTTCTACAATATATTGTCGATCGAACGATATTTTCGTTTCGATGTGATTATGTATAATCTTTCTTCTACATCTTTCGTAATTCAATTTCATACTTTGCGTTTTTATAACTTTTGATTTTTCAAAAAAGAATACATTTTCTTTCATTTTCCTAAAGAAGAAACTCGTATATATTTATATATGTTATACATACATATTTTTTATTTACGATATAAAAGAAGAAAATGTGAAAAAGAAATTTTATATCTTTCGAATATCATATTATTTACAGTTCTTTACAATTAGATATTTCATGTTCCTTCCAAATTCTAGCCTTAACAAGTGTGACTTTAATTTGTATTCGTTAATTATTTTAATCTACCAATTGTAACATTTATCCTTAATATTACTATATAAATAAATAATTAATTATTCATGATTTCAACATGCAGAAAACAAGTGTTTGCCGTACTTTGCAAATACGTATTATAGGGATCTTAAGAAAAACTAAAATAAAGTAGGAGTAGAACAAATTTATGAACAACGCAAAAATGGTAGTCAAATAGCTAAAGAGCGTTGAGAATCAAGATATATGTACATATAATCGGATTGTGCTCTGGATTGGATATGATGGAAATAACCATTCCAAAGGAAGCCGGAGCGAATCAGACAAGACAAACAGACAGAAAAAGACTTAACGCAAAAGTCAAACATTGGAGTGAATGCGTTCATGCTGTGATAAACTGTTTTCATTCATGTGACTTATATCGATGCGTCAATTTATCTTCCTAATATTGAAACGAGTATAATCCCACTTCGTTGTCTAATGGAATCATACCTTCAAAATTCTATAGATACACACAAACTGTACTTGACGAAAGCGTCACTTACAATAGATATTTTATGTGGGGGCAGAAAATGTGTAACCTTGTATTAAACTCTTCGGAAACTTTCCGAGAATTGGATGAGCCAATAAAGTATTAAAAAATGCAAGACAGAGTGTAAACACATGCAATTCAATAGCGAAACAAGTATTTAATTAGCGACTTCTACCACATCTTGTTAAAATACACGCTCAAGACATGAAGAATAAATTGTGATAAGGACTGCAGAACGATTTCATTCAATTTGTGATAGAAATTAACGTTTTAAACGCACATAAATTAAAAGAAATTAAAAAGAAAAAAGAGACGAAATGCGTCACAAAAATGTAAAGTAACTTTGGTTTCCTTTCCGACTAAGGAAAAGTTGACAAGTTTTGCAAGACAATATTAAGCATTACTTCATTTTAGAAAAACTTAATGGAAAATAAAGACTAAGTTATATAAATCTCTTTTTTACTAACTACTAAGCTAACTAACTTTTACAGACATTCATTTTCGAATATAAAACGCTTCTGTTTAATAAATTAGTGTCTAACTTTCTCTTATTCCATACATATAAAGCAATGTATGGAAACAATTAATTTAATTTTTAATATTTAAAAAATTAAATAAAGCGATTCTCAGGATATATCAAATGTAATCAGTCCATCCGTTCGTTTGACGATATGGATTAATAAAAAAGACAAATTGATATGGAAGAAAAAATAGTGGAACTGTTAGAGATATGAAAATGAAATTATTCCCAGGTTATTGATCGAAAATTTGCGCAGTAATAATCGTCTGACCAGTAACAAAATCTTTATCTTTTGCATGTATTTTTATCACATAAAAGTCGACGAATATTTGCGACTCTCTGGCTGTATCGATTCACTGAAATTGCTGTCGGAATCAGGACATTTTACACTTTTTTGATTCAACATTTTCCGAAAACAAAATTATTTGAGAATTCGTACCTATATTTAACATTCCTAAAACAGTTGAAAATTTGAGAAATAACAAAATTTCTTTTTTTAATATGATCGCAAGAAAACAAATATCTATATCTTATTTTACTTTTAATATTAACATCTATCTAAAAAATTAGTTCACATCTAGCTGCAATAGCTTGGACGAGATAATGTCTCCCTTTAAAATTATCGCTGGAATGAGAATATACTCGGCAAAAAATGATAGAGCATTTAGCGAATACTCAAGCCATGAGAGACACGTATAATGTGCAAACGCATTCGTGCGAGATATAAACGCATAAAAAGCATAAGCAAAAAGAGAGAATCAGAGAACGACATACGAATAGTTAACGCGCGAATTAGAGAATCGAAAAGCGAAAGCATGCCAGAATGCCAAGAGAGGAACGATGATTCGTATGGAGATCCGGCGTTTTCAAGCCGGATTAACGTCTGCTCTGGCATCAAGAACTTCATTCTTATGCCAAATAAAAGAACATTGAAACATTCAACCGGTTCGGCTTAAACAACAATACAACGTACCTTCATTGCGAATTATTTTCGCTAATAATCGAAACCTGTCTCGTAATTGAACTTTATCGTTATAGGAATATGATAAAATATCATAATAGTATTTTAATTTAAAAAAAAAATTGAGCATTATTGCAAAATAGCGAATTTTTTAAATAATTATAATATATAGGATATTTTATCTAAAGTTCTAAAACTGGAAAAACTTTTCTATTTTTATACTTAGTTTATAAAATAAACTTTTAAGATAAATTTAGTAAATATTCTTTATCAAAGTTTTTTTCGAGGTAAAATTCGATTTAAGCCGGAACTCTCGCGAACTGATCGTCCCTCACAATCTAATATCGATTGTATATTGTGTATATAACGTCTCGTGTACATCTGAGAACTCGTGTGTGCGTGATATATCGTTTATCATTCGAATCCTACTCTATTATCAAATTGAATAGAAGCACCGAAAAAAATCGTCGCAAGAATAAAGCGCATCCATTTTGCACCTCCGACCCATTTCGCGCGCTACGGTCTACCTTCGTCAAAAAAATCAGTCATAGTATCAGTAGATAAAGGTAAAGATAAATAGATATGTAGAAAGAAAAAAAGAAAGAGAGAGAGAGAGATTTATTCGTCAATGCTGGTTGCTCGCATTCTCTCAACGGAAGACATTGGCAAACGGGCAAAGCCCTATACTTTGGGAATTTATGGATTCATGGATTCCGAAAACCCTCGAGAAGATTCTATGCGCAGTTTGAGATTCATAAACCCATACGTAATTCGCGCAGTTCTGCCACTCGTGGTAGAAATACACGTGGTTAGAAATACATAAATTTACACTGCGCCCAAAATTCATGGCCGCGAGAAATGCTCACTCTTGATTTAAACGTTTGCTTTATAGCTCCCGGAAAACATGGTATAAATTGAATTAGCATGAACCCCAGATTGTAATTTTATCAATAAATTACATTAAAAGCGTGTCACATAATTTATTTTTGATTAAATTATATCGCGATATTTTTAATGTACATACGCGAATGAATTAAAAAAACCTGTTAGATTAGCTCTGTATAATATCAAATTCTAAGTATAATATTGTTACAATCTATGATATTTATACATCGCAACAATAAATACATAAGACTTGTAAAATACGCAAGTGTGCTCTTTACGGAAAAGTCCTTATATATATATAGGATATAATATATTTCGTACCGTTTCACGAAGGTAAGATTTTGTATTCTTTCGTTGCGCCAATGTTTTCCTTAATATGTATTAATGAACGTGATTACTACTTTGGAGAGAATACGAGCAACGAGAACTTAAGATGTGTGAATATGCAATCGGAGAATAATGAATGAGTCTGCGAGTCGATCGATCGATGATCCTTTGCAAAGGATCTATGATCTACCATAAGATCGTAAGTTCTGAAACGCAATTCGCGATCCATGAAATGCTGCGCGGAAATTCTTGTGATAATATACGAATACTGTAATTTCTGGTAATTATTATCGACACTATCACTGCCTTACAGAAAGGGAAGGAAAACGCGAGTTGTCGCGAATTATCGAAATCAACTGAGCTACACATGAACGATCTATTTGTAAGGAATGACGACTGACGACATAATCAAGATTTCATGTTCCATAGTTCATAATATGGCGAGTTTCGCGAATGTAATTTAGGATGCTATATAAATTTAAAAATGAATTATTTTATTTTGCAAATAAATATCTATATTATATTTAAATATCTATATCATTCCGATTTCTAATTAATATTAGTTATGAATAATATTAGTTATAAAAGTTTAAAAAGATACTTGAATTAATTTCACAAATTGCCGTCGAATCAATTTTGTCAGAAGTTTACCTCATGCGATAATAAATCGAATAATGCACAATCGATAAATAGCTTAGAAAAGAAATATTAATTTTATTGAAACGATGTCAACATCTTTAGCATAACAATTCAGTAAATGTTATCATATGGTTGCTTTGACACAGACTTCATCGCGAGATTAAGAGAATAAAAAATTCTCTTCAAAATCGCATCTACTGACGAAAG